TCCTCCCTGGTCATTTGTCCAATCTTCCACTTCTTGTAAGCTTCTTAAGATTGGAGACTGGCCACTTCCCAGGGCTTTGGGAGATGAGTCAGAGCTGCGGGACACCAGTGTGGTGCTGAGGTGGGCCAGCTACTGCTCTCATTTACCCGGGTGCAGGGCAGGAGTAACTCTACTGAACTCAATGGGGTTACGCTTGATTTTTCTGTGGAATATTCCAGCTGCTGGGGGTGGTTCTAACAGGGTTCCCACGCCCAGGAAAGACTGAACCTGCTCCCTTCTCCCACCTCGAGGAGCACCAATCAGCTGTTTGTAATGTACCAGAAGCTTCCTCTCCCATGCGAAGGCTGCAGTGTCTGGAGCTGGGAGGGAGCAGGGAGGTGTTTCAGACATGCAAGGCTCCGCTTTCCCTCCACATTCTTCATTGCTGTGTAAGTGGGGTTGGACTGAGCTCCCCTCTGATGTGGAGTGATGAGCTGGAGAAACAGACTTCAAGAACAAACTCTGTTTGCCTAAGCACCCTACTGTGCCTAGGAACTCAGCAGAGGGAACTGTTTTGCCAAAGTGACCCCTTTTGGCTGGTGTTGGGTTACCAATCAGTTTAGTAGGGAGTGCAGGGGAATGGCATGTTGTCACCCTGGTTGTGTGAGGACAGGGCAGCAGAACTGTGCTTAGACTGCCCTGATTGACGCTCACTCGCTATGCAGGGGGGGGGGGATGCCAAATCCCCATGAGAGTGAGAGAGAAAGAGGGTGGGGGCAGATGTCTGTATCCAGGATTGTGGGCTCTCCCTAAAGAGTCCTAGACGCCATTTCACCCTCTCCCTCGCCACTGTGTAAAGGCAGAGCTCATTAGACACACTGGAGAGTCTTTGTTTTGTTAAGTGATCGCTAGAGCTGAAATCACTGAGAACCAGGTCTAGCCGCTGAGCCTTAGGGCACGTCTTCGCTTAACACGCTGCATCAGCACAACTGCACTGAGGCAACTGTGCCACTGTGGCGCTTTAATGGAGACACTCTAAGCTGACAGGAGAGAGCTTCTCCCATCGGTGTAGTTAATCCACCTGCGCGAAAGGTGGTAGCTCTGTTTATGAGGGAAGCTCTCCTGTCAACACATGGTGTCTACACAGGGGGTCAGGTTGGTATAACTACATCACATGGGGGGCAGGGGTGTGTGGATTTTTCACCCCTCTGAGCGATGTAGTTATACATATATAGGTCTGTAGTTCAGACCAGACCTCAGTTGTGTACATGGTGGCGGTAGCCGCAGCCAAGGCATTTCTCAACCCCATCTCCCACCCCTCTGGTGGGAGTAGAAATCACACGAAGGCTCTGAACTCTGCGTCTTCACCGGACAAGGACAGCAGCTGTGAGTGGGGTGCAGGGGAGGGCAAGGGCAAAGGCAGATTAAAGGAGCATATGTTATACTTTCACACCACAAGGGGATAAACTGAGGCAAAGGACACGGCCCAATATATTCTGGGATGGGAGTCTGCTCACGGCTAAGGCTACGATTATGTCACAAAGGTCATGGACAGGAGGAGACAGTGCACCAGGAAGATGAAGGCTCCCTGCAGGCTGTGGACAATGGTGAAGAAATACGCCATGAACGTGGGTGCTGGGCCGATTAGGAGGAGATCAAGGCTCCATGTGCAGCCCAGAATGAAGAGCTGGGCGATGGCTTTAAAGGTCAGTAACCTGGATAAAGGCAGATGGAGAGATCCCGTTACAATAACCCTATGGAGAGCAATTGGGTCAGGAGGATCTGGGCAGAGTGGGGTGGAGCTACCGGCCCTGGCTTTCCTGTGTGGGACAGGGTCACTGTCAATGCAAACACACTGGGAATTCATTCCTATGGATCCTAGATATGTTGTTCCCCTCCTGCAATCCCTCACACCCTCCCAGTGCCAAGTACCCTCCAAACCAAGACATCTGACCCTCCAGGATTGTTTTGTTGCCTTCTCACCTGTGGTCTCTGAGGGTGGACACATCTGCATTGAGGGAGGAGAGACTGTTTCTCAGGATCCACAGGGTCAGGGCAAAGAACGTTATATTTATCTGTGGGATGAGTGGGAAATATTTCCTGTAAAACATCCCATCCGGGGCCGGTGACTCCAGCTGAGGCAGAGAACGATCCCAGGGGACCGATCCGAACACTGCAGAACCAGGGACTGCTCATTTCCGGTGGGAATCATCCCCTCTCCTGTAATATCCCCTGGCAGCTCTCGGTCCCTCCCCATGCGTGGAGCTGACAGCACAGCCAGGGCTGAGATGGATCAATGGGATCACAGAGGCCAGATGCTGCTCAGAGTTAAATATGGAGCCTCTCCAGTGGAGTCAGTGGTTAATTTGGGTTTACACTGGTGTAACTGAGAGCAGGATCTGGCTCAGAGATTCCAGATCCTGCCTCTAGAATACTTCCTGCCACTTTTAGGCTGTTAGAAATTCCTTACCCCGCTCAACTTCCCCAAGGGGTAGGGAGGAACATGTAGGGACATTTGTTTCCCTCCCTACAAAAAATGCTGCAGAGTGCAGCCCTCTCCATTCCTCATTCCTTCGGTCATTAACTCTTGCTGTCTTCACTTGGCAAAACTCCTATTGACTTCCATGGTAGCTGTGCCCGAGTAAAGGCTGTAGGCCGGGGGTACAGCACAGGGACTAATCCCGGGACTGACCACAGCAGATGAGCCAGGTGGGACCTAACTGGGTCTTTCCTTGTGTTTTATGGGCCACGTTCTCCTCCCTGCTTCACTGAAATCAATGGGGTGGCAGAGGTGAGAGGAGAATGGGGCCCTGTGGTTCTGGGAGGTACCCACCAGGATTATGGCACAGACTGGACCCAGGAAGCTCCAATGAAAGCCGCTCTCCAGGCTGAGCCAGCAGCTACAGGGAGGGAGGAAAAAGGAGGTGACGTTAATGTAATACGGCTCAGGGGCTACATACGCTGGCTCCACCTTCCTGGGGCCTCCCCTCCCTCGGGGACATGCAGTCAGTGTCCGTACCAAGGGAGCTGAGTGGGTCAGAGGCTCAGACCATCAGGGCATATTGCGAACATCATGGTAGCTATTCCCTGTTCACTTTCACTGGCTGTAACAGGAACTGTGCATGGAAAAATTATGGATGGAGAACAGGCTGCACAAACGTCACTGGGTGATTGGATGCTGGGTGCTCAAAACCTGATTGATGGGGGAAGGGGGTTCACCCAGCCTGATTGTGGGGGTGGGGGGGATATAAAATCTGTTCGGGGCTTTTCTGCCAGTGTCTCCTCCAGCAGAGAAGAGCTCGTGCAGCTGCTGGATCAAGCATTCTCCATCAACAGCTGTTCTTCGCCCCCTCCCCCACTGCGACCTCCAGTGAAACATGAAAAACACTTTGGAAATGAAACGCACAAAAGAAACTCCCAAAGTCTAACCCCTTCCCTCAGGGGTATGGTGCAGTCCAATATGGCCACTTCCCATGGCCAGTTGCAATATAAAGGGGAAGGGGGGACCCAGGCCCACCCGCTACCCGGGGTCCTGACCCAGGGACCCTCAAGTGCAGGGCTGGCGCTTCCACTAGGCGACCCTAGGCGGTCACCTAGGGCGGTAGGATTTGGGGGGCGACATTTTGCCCCCTCAGTGGAAATTTGGCAGCGGGGGATCCTTCCACTCCGGGTCTTTGGTGGAAATTCGGTGACGGGTCCTTCACTCGCTCCAGGACCCACCACCGAAGTGCCCCAAAGACACAAAAGGGACGGATAACTCAGTGGTTTGAGCATTAGCCTGCTAAACCCAGGGTTGTGAGTTCAATTCTTGAAGGAGCCACTTAGAGATCTGGGGCAAAACCAGTCCTTGGTCCTGCTAGTGAAAGCAGGGGGCTGGACTCAATAACCTTTCATGGTCCCTTCCAGTTCTATGAGATAGGTATATCCCTATTTATTATACTCAGAGGAGGAGCGCTGCCACCTAGGGCAGCAAAAACCCTGGCACCGCTCCTGCTCAAGTGGCAGCCTCCCCGCCCTCCTCCTCTCCCCTCGCTTGCTGTCCACTCTCCCTGGGTCACTTCCCCTCTGACCCTTTGCACCCTTTAGGCCCTTCCCTCAGGGCCTGCAGCCTGGCAGGTAGCAGGCTGGAGTTCCCTTTGGCTCCCCTGAGCCTGCGCAGCACTGCGCTGTCCCAGGTGCTAGTCTCCTAGCTCAGGAGACAGACCTTCCCTGTTGGAGGTCTGGGAGAGACTAACTGATCCTCTCATGGGCAGCCTTTATATAGGGCTGAGCCTGGCCTTGATTGGCCGCCTCCTGCCCAGCCCTGGTTGGTTCTCTAACAGGCCCTCCCTGATTGGCTGCTGCTTTGGGCAGCCTCTCTGGCCTGTCTTAGTCCACTTTCACAGGGGGGTGGGGCACTTGCCCCACCACAGTATGTTAGCAACAAGAAAAAGGTCAAGGAAAGTGTGGGCCCCTTACTGAATGGAGGAGGCAACCTAGTGACAGAGGATGTGGAAAAACCTAATGTACTCAATGATATTTTTTTGCCTCAGTCTTCACAAACAAGGTCAGCTCCCAGACTGCTGCACTGGGCAGCACTGTATGGGGAGGAGGTGACCAGCCCTCTGTGGAGAAAGAAGTGGTTCAGGACTATTATGAAAAGCTGGATGAGCACAAGTCCATGGGGCTGGATGTGCTGCATCCGAGGGTGTTAAAGGAATTGGCGGATGTGATTGTAGAGCCATTGGCCATTATCTTTGAAAACTCATGGCGATCGGGGGAGGTCCCGGATGACTGGAAAAAGGCTAATGTAGTACCTGTCTTTGAAAAAGGGAAGAAGGAGGATACAGGGAACTAGAGGACAGTCAGCCTCACCTCAGTCCCTGGAACCTAATTGCCTTCTATGATGAGATAACTGCCTCAGTGGATGAGGGGAAAGCAGTGGACGTGTTATTCCTTGACTTTAGCAAAACTTTCGAGATGGTCTCCCACAGTATTCTTGCCAGCAAGTTAAAGAAGTATGGGCTGGATGAATGGACTATAAGGTGGGTAGAAATCTGCCTAGATCATCGGGCTCAACAGATAGTGATCAATGGCTCCATGTCTAGTTGGCAGCCGGTATCAAGCGGAATGCCCTAAGGGTCGGTCCTGGGGCCGGTTTTGTTCAATATCTTCATTCATGATCTGGAGGATGGCGTGGATTGCACCCTCAGCAAGTTTGCAGATGACACTAAACTGGGAGGAGTGGTAGATATGCTGTAGGGTAGGGATAGGATACAGAGGGACCTAGACAAATTATAGGATTGGGCCAAAATAAATCTGATAAGGTTCAGTAAGGACAAATGCAGAGTCCTGCACTTAGGACAGAAGAATCCCATTCACTGTTACAGACTAGGGACCGAATGGCTAGGTAGCAGTTCTGCAGAAAAGGACCTAGGGGTTACAGTGGACGAGAAGCTGGATATGAGTCAACAGTGTGCCCTTGTTGCCAAGAAGGCTAACGGCATTTTGGGCTGTATAAGTAGGGGCATTGCCAGCAGATCGAGGGACGTGATCATTCCCCTTTATTCGACATTGGTGAGGCCTCATCTGGAGTACTGTGTCCAGTTTTGGGCCCCACATTACAAGAAGGATATGGAAAAATTGGAAAGAGTCCAGCAGAGGGCAACAAAAATGATTAGGGGGCTGGAGCACATGAGTTATGAGGAGAGGCTGAGGGAACTGGGATTGTTTAGTCTGCAAAAGAGAAGAATGAGGGGGGATTTGATAGCTGCTTTCAACTACCTGAAAGGGGGTTCCAAAGAGGATGGATCTAGACCATAGGCAAGGGGAAAAATTGCTTGGTACTCAGCACCCACTGGGAACTCCCTGCTCTGCACACCTCCACTCCACCTCCTACCCTGAGCGTGCCGCGTGCCCACTTTTTCTCCCTAGCTCCAAGAGTTTGCGCCACAAAACAGCTGTTTCAGGGGATTGGAGGAAGAGAGCAGGACGAGGAACGCAGCGCGCTCGGGGAAGAGGAGGGGCTGGGTGGGGATTTGGGGAAGGGGTTGGAATGGGGGCGGGGCATGTTTGGGGGTAGGATGGAGTCGGGGCGCGGGGGTGCAAGCACCCACCGGCACCGGGGAAAGTTGGCGCCTAAGATCTAGACTGTTCTCAATGGTAACGAGGAGTAATGGTCTCAAATTGCAGGGCAGGGGGAGGTTTAGGTTGGATATTAGGAAAAACTTTTTCACTAGGAGGGTGGTGAAGCACTGGAATGGGTTACCTAGGAAGGTGGTAGAATCTCCTTCCTTAGAGGTTCTTAAGGTCAGGCTTTACAAAGCCGTGGCTGGGATGATTTAGTTGGAGTTCGTCCTGCTTTGAGCACGGGGTTGGACTAGATGATCTCCTGAGGTCCTTTCCAACCCTGATAATCTATGATTCTGTGATATACTCCGCTGGCCAATGACAAACAGGAGAGCAAAGACATTTCTTTAGCCACTGGGAATGTGTTGTTCTAATGCAGACAGAGGAGGAAATAAGGCAGGTGAACCATCCCCCACTGCTCACCACAATCTAGTCAGGACAGAGCGAACCACCAGGAAACATCTGAGAAAGGGAAATTCACTGAGGAGAAACTGACTTTATATGGGTAAAACCCACATGTGTGTGCAGTGGTTTTTTCTCAGCGGAAGGCTGATGTATTTGGAAGAAGCATGTTTGTGACACTGATTGGACCAGAGCTGTTCCTCTAGGAGGGGGCACCAAGAAAAGGGGACCTGGTAAAACCCACACATGAGAGCGATCATAGGAGGAGGAGCCTGAGTGTATTTCTTTGCCTCTCTTCACCTTGAGCTCACAGACAACTGGATGGAAGGACTGGAGAGCCCCAAATCCTCAGCAGTCTCTCCCTTGAAGAACCTGTATGGGACCATTGACAAGGTTCATCTGTCAGGAATCAGGGCTTGCAGCAGAGACAGTCTCCAGGCAACCTAACGAGCAGAGCTGGCCTGTACCAAGCTGCCTGATTGGTGGGAAGGGTCAGCAGACAGGCTTTTTAGCCCAGCAGTAGCAGTTCAGTAGCTACTCAAAACTTTTGCTCACAGCTATGTTAGCTCCGTCCTTGGTCCAGCCTAGCTCCTGCCTGGCCTCTCTCCAGGTAATCTGGTTCTGACCCTCAGCTCCGATTCCTCATCTCCAACTTTGGCTCCGACCCCGATTCTGACCCTGGGTTCCGACTCCTGGCTCCTGACCCTGGGTCTGACCCTTGGTGCTGGAATTTGGCCCCTGGGTCTGACCCGTGGCTCTGGTTCTTGGATACCAGGTCCTGCTCTGACCCCTAGACCTGACCTCCCACATCCTGCTCTCTGAAACTGTGAAGCATGGATAGTCATTAGCTGCCTCTGTCATCTTCTTCCTGTGTTAACCCTGTTACTACGGCACCACATGGAACAGGACTGATGTTCTGTCTGCATCTCCAAGACGACAGCTGCAGACAAGAGCTATAATCACAGATGAGACTTGGACAGGACCATCTCACGCATAGGGAGCCGCACTGTGAGCTGGATGAAGATCTGTTCTTCTGTTTGGTTTTTTTTAAGAAGAACTACTGCTCAGAAAGTGACTTTGGCATTACAGCTGCACCACCTTAGATGACTACTTACAGCAAGACTCATTAACAACCCAGTGACACTGGCATCACTGATCATTATATTAGCAACCAACCACTCAGTATGGGCATCTCTTAAGTTTTACTGAATGCAGGATTAAAAAGATTAGTTGTGACCAGATACTTCACATGAGTTAATTTTAACAAGAGGGAAGAACCCTGGCCAGAATAGGGAAATAACAGATAAAGAATATTTAGCTAAGTTAGATCTATGCAACTCGGCAGGGCCTGATAAAATTCACGCTAGAGTACTTAAGAAACTCGCTGAAG